CAGGAATCATTGATGTCCATTAAGGTTTAGAGCTAATAAGGTTTATGTTTAAAAAAAAAAAGAGACAAAGCAATGAGGTAAGGTTTAAGCTTTAAGCTTTTAATTATATGAGTTAGTTGGGTTGACTTGGGCCTATTTTTACTCTCTCTTTTTTCAATCTTCTTAATATTTTTTTTTTTACTTGACCTAAATCATTCATTCTTTTAAAAAAAAATTCTCAAATTTTTGTTTCTGCATGTGCAGACACATGCAACAACACCGGTCCGCGAGTGGTTTCCAACATGGTTGGTTTTGTGATTAGAGGCAATGTGAAAGGAATTCGTTAGACTCATGAGTCGTGCCTTACTTCTACAACAAAATGAAAGGGTCATGATTGCCCAAGTGCCCGCTTTCAACAACAACAATATCTCAATTTCAATGCAATTGGATTATTCAAAATAATACTTACATATTACTACTCTATATATCACATCATATATGTATCAAGTAGTTAAATGTTCGAATAAGATTGATTACAATTCTCAAGACATTCTAATTACTTAAAGATTGATTACATAAAGATGGATTAATACATACAACAAAGTTGTTTAGATTTTTTACTTGACCGCGCTCTTTAACAAGGAATAATCCTTATTTTTAGTCTTTTAAGCCAGTTTTTTTTTTCCTATAAAGATACTAACATCTCTCTCTGAAACAACAACTACTGCAGTACTCATGCGATGCACGAAGAAAAAATATCTAAATTTTTGTCAGCGTCTATTATTGGTTAATCATTAAAAGAAAGAACCATATTAGTATTTTTTGTTAATTTGAGAGGTGAAAAAGCTAAAATACTCACATAAAAATTTGTTATTATCTACTACAAACAAAACTCTGCAATTAAGAAACATCAACTCTTACTTTTTTTTATGTGTCTTTATTACTTTTTTTATGCCAAAATTTGAACCCAATCTTTTATCTCAATGTCATTCTATTTGACAATGTTATTCCAACTAGTTTTTAACACACGTGTAGAGCACATGTGCATTTTCAATGTCTTAGTTCAACGAAAATATCTGAGAGGAGTCACATTCTTTGTTTTCTTATGGATTAACGAAACCTTCATACACTTTTACTTTTCAAGAAGCTTTATCTCACTCTTGCGATTTGGTCAAATTGTATTCAGAGTCTATTATTATTCTTTTTAACATATATTTTAAACAACTCCTCAATAACTATTGTGATATCATTTTCTTTGCTTAACTCCTTGAATTCTTTAAACAAGCCTACCATTGAGCATGAACCTTTCACCTTATATAAGGTTCTTCAATTAATTTGGTAGTTTTAATCAGCATCATCAATTGTCTTTTGTTGTAATTCTTGATACGAAGTGAATTCAACAACAGCAATCAAACGAGAAAAAACCAGAATCGTTGTTCTTATAGTATGAATTCCATTTTCACACCAAAGAGTCTTAATATTAGACAAATAAAACGGAGCATGCATTGAATGACGATAGTTAATTGGACAATTTTTTTCTCAAATTAAATGAGAAAGTATTTTATGACATAATCACATGACCCCACAGCTAAAAAAATAAAAATATTAACTCGAATTTCATGAAAAAAAATATTTCCCTAATTAATTTAGGTAACTAACAAAATTAAGTCAATTATGTTGAATTAATTAATTAAATATTTTAGGTCAATATCAATTCAATTATACTCACTGCACGGGAAAAAGGCAATTAAGTTAACTAGATCAAGAAAAGTATGATCAATACCATTGAGTATAAATTCTTTTTTTTTTGAAATATTTTAATCGGTTCATTGTTTCGCAACTAATCTGATTCGGGGCATATTTAGGATTAAAATTTTAAATCCCTTCCAAAGATGATACTGAAGATATTCGAATTGAGTATAAATTCTTGTACAATACAAGAATGACCCACACTTATACTGAGTTATCTGAGTATAATGTAAATATAATTTATAATGACCCACACTTAAACAAAAGAAACTAAAAATTATTTGAATTTTTCTTTAGTTTTTAAAACTAAAATGTAAATATAATTTTTATTTTTTATTTTTTTATACTGGAGGCATTATCAAATTTTTTTATTTTTTATTTTTATTGTAACGCACCCTCTGTACATTAAAAAGAGTAAATATCCAGCTTACAAAAAAAAAAACAGTAAATATCTTTTTTCGTCCTTAACAATTTTCACAAAGTCTCTTTTGGTCCCAACAATAAAAAAAGTTCATTTTGATCTTTAATTTACAAAAATACGACCATGTTTGTCCTTCCGTTAGTTGGCATCCAACAGCCCAACTAACGGAGCACAAGTGGAACGTTAGTTTGGAGCACACGTGGTTAGTTTGCTGATTCACATGACTCAGCAAACTAACGTTCCACGTGTACTCTATTAATTGAGCTGTGAGAAATCTACGCTATATTTTTTTTTTAAACGAAGGAACAAAATGAGCCTTTTTTTTATTGACGGCGACCAAAAGGTATTTAATCCATTAAAAATTGATTCTTGTATCAATATAACCTTTCCTTCCCTATGACATCTCCTTCTCTCTCTCTACCATTTCCATTTTCTCTCTAGGATGGCGGTTCCACCGGTGGTGAGGTTTCCGATCTTGACGACAGTGAGAGTGGTTGGTGTCGCAATCACTCTTGTTGTCCTCCCACGGGCTCTCCATTTCACGGTCAAAGATCTCTTCTGCAATGTAAGTCTCCTCACTGAATTCTTGTGGGTCATCATTCTTTTTGATTGATTAATATCTTTCTTGATTCAAATTTCTTTTCTTTTTCTTTTTTCGGATGATGGGTATGTGATCTTTTCTCAATCCTCTCCCTCTCTCTCTCTCTTTAACAAATACCATTTTTTGTTATGTCTATATTTTAGCTCCATTTTCTTTTTGTACATTTCTCTTGAATGTTTTATGTTTTGCATTTTCAACATCATGCGAACAAATATGCCATTCTAATGGCAGAGGCCGAATTAGAATGAAGACAGTTGATCCTTGTTCTGGTAAGATTGTTCGAGACAGCATAGATGGGCTAGCTGGTACCTTCAAAATGCTCATAACAACCTTTTATCAAAATATATCTGCTCAAGTCAAATAAACTTATTGTCTCAGATTCCATACAATGTTTCTTCTTACTATCCTTTTATTGTTTGTTAGTACTAACTCCTTTTATCTGTTTGTCATGGCAATGTGCAGGGATGCTTTCATATAAGACAAGATCAGGAACTAAAAACATCTAAAGAGAAGTTCATCTCTCATTACTATTTATTTCTCTCATTTTAATCTTAATTGGTCTCTGGGCTGCTTGGAAGTTTCACAATGACAAGGGCATTGACAATTTCTACAGCCTGCATTCATGGTTGGGCCTTTCTTGCCTTTTCCTATTCTTCATCCAGGTCTCTTTCTTATTGTAAATACATTTCATAAATTTTTTTTTTGGTACAAATTAAATTTCGTAACTTGTTCTGTTCTAATTGGGAACTTGGATTCCATCTATCTAATAAGATAAGATCATATCCCGTTATTCCAGTGAAGCACTGCTGTCAATTAATTGGGCATTTTGATTGTCATTTTGTAGAATACATCTGGACAGACTTTCAGGAGTGAAACAATTTCCTCTGAAGTCTTAGAAGTTGATCATATATCAGAGGAGCCATACCCCAAATGCCATGATGTGATAGCCAGCAGCAACTTAAAGGAAACTCTCATTGGATTGAATTCCAGTATGCATCCTCTCTGCAGAGATTCTATTGTTGCTGATATAAAGGGCATACAAGGCAAACCTGGGTTAAACCAGGCTAGGATAAATGCTACGTAGAAAGTCATTCAGTCAAAAGCTGATCATCAAAGATACTCAAATACACCAAATATTATGATTATGGATTCTATTGTAAGATATAAGGATTCCTCTTCTGATAATTCTAAAGCCAAGCTACCACCTACCAAGAGACTAGAAATGGAGTCTGCTTTTGGTGTCTCTTTAATTGATAACGAAAGTTTTGATAAATGGACTCACAAGAATGTTCAACCTTATTCTCTTGTAGCATTTTCAGAATTGCAGCAACAGCGAGAATCTCCCCCCTCTTCTATCTATTCTGATGTTACAGAGTGCTATATGGAAAAATTTACAAATCCAGTGCTTGATTCTATAAGCATTAGTCAGATGAAGAACAATGTGATTGATGATATTGGACAGACTCTCAAGAGTAAAACAATTCCCCCTGAAGACTTAGAAATTGATCATTTATCAGAGGAGCTAGACCCAAAAGCCATGATGTGATAGGCAACAACAACTTAATGGAAATTCTCATTAGATCGAATTCCACTGTCCATACTCTTTGCAATGATCCTATGCTGAAATAGAGGGCTTACAAGGCAGAATTGGGTTCAACCAGGCTGGGATAAATGCTACAAAGAAATTCATTGAGCCAAAAGCTGATCAACAAATGGAAACAAAGCCTCAAATACAACAGTTTATATTGTTTCCTTGACTGAGATTTTCACTAGTAATCAAATAAAAGAACACATTATGTATTTGAGAAAGCAATTTGTTCAGGTTAGTACACCATCTTCTAGTGTTTTCAATTACCTTGATCTGTTTGGGTACTACTCTTTTGAGTATCTTTATTATAGAAATATTTACTACTTGATTTCTTTTTTCAATTTTAATTGAAACTGCACAATATGATTACTAGAAAGATTGTTAATGTGAGTTTAAGTTTTTTTGTGACATAATTTTTGTATTGATGGGCACCGATGGAAGGATTGAATTTTTGACTTCTTGGTCAAAGAGGCTTTGAACTTATGTCAAGGATCAATTCTCCTAAAAGCTTGGCCTAAGAGGCATTAATACCATGTCAAGTAAGCTTTTAGTTGAGTTGGTCTCTAACTAGTTGATATTAGCCTTTTTAACCATAAGGTCAAGAGTACGATACTTGCTATCTTTGTTCTTCATAATGAAGTTAAATTTCAATATATGTTAAAATGGTTTTGTGCATTGTCTATGCTTCAATCGAAAAGGATATTTGCATGAGGGAATATCTTAGAGATATAAAAGTTGATAATGTTTTCTGTTCAGGTTCCTTGCGAAGATTTTTGGAATCTGTGAAGAGACTTTTTTTTCTTGCTCTACATGTTGGACTTGAAAAGACCTCTGCTGTGGTGAGTTTCCTTAATCTGTTTACTCTGTTTATGCAAACCTAATAAATTGCAGCTTGTGATGCTTTCACTTCCACTGTACAGGAAACTTCTCCTTATAACTAGTTTCAAAGGTTAGGATTGCTGGAGTTGTTCTTGGATTGTCCAATTTCTTTCATGATCTTGATCTGATTATCCAGAATAAAGTTTTTGGTTGTGATCGTCAACTGAAATTTGGTGTAGTTGGTTGTAGGGCTAGGATTAGCCATTGCAATGTGAATACTGAATTTTGTAATAATTGCCTCATCCTTTATGAATACTCTTTGTTTTTAACTCTTCTTCAAGTGTGATATTTGCTCCATTGATTTTATCTTTATTAATTTTTATTTGGCATTCATGCTGCCTTTTTACAAGTTCCTTTATTTCTAACTATTGCTTTGTTAGAATTCTAGCGTGGTTGTGGGAAGCCTATCTGAGTCATAGCCACCCCATTAACCATTATAAGGATAATGGACATGATATGTTTTAACCTAATAAGCGCACTTATAGTCTCAATTTGAGGTTATTTATCTTGCTACAGAAAACGGAAAAGATTGTTTGCAATGTCAGATACTCGGCTTTTTGACCCTTATAACCCTTTATTATTAATTAATTACTGATTTGACCTTGATTATAAACTATTTCAAAAATTTAACCCTCTCAAAAAACATAACACCAATCTGCCCCTGTTTGACCGTTGACCACCAAGCCTACCCGGGTACACCCCTCTCTACCCGGGTATTTTTTGAAAAATTTTGTGTACCCGAGTAGGGAGGAGTGTACCCGGGTATTGTTCTTCGCACCTGAGAAATTGCTTGAATTATTTACCCGGGTAGAGATGGGTGTACCCGGGTAAATCTTCGTTGGCTTTCTCCACTTTCTTCCTTGGTGACTATGCTTCCTTCACTGTTAGAGTTACGATTGAGTGATTGTAAACTTAACAACATCAGCCCATCTCTTGAGTATGTGAATTTTACTTCACTTGTAACTCTTGATCTTTCTGACAACAATTTCAACTCTGAATTACCATACTGGTTGTTTAATCTCAGTAGTGGCATCTCTCATCTTGAACTTCAGGACAGTAATTTACATGGTGAAATACCTTCCAGCTCATTAAGCCTAAGAAATTTAAAAAACCTTGATCTATCTTTGAACGACCTCACAGGATCAATTCCAAATTGGTTTGGCCAATTAGAACATCTGCAGCACCTTGATCTATCCAACAACTTGTTTTCTGGTTCCCTTCCCTCAACGCTTGGAAATCTCTCATCCTTAGTTTCCTTAAGAATTGGCTCTAATTCCTTCTCTGGTGCAATATCTGAAACATCTTTTTCCAAACTCTCAAATTTAGAATATCTGGACTCGAGCAATTCCACGACTGCATTCCATTTCAATCCTGAATGGATTCCTCCTTTTCAGCTCCATAGCCTTTTTTTGTCAAATACAAAAACAGGTCCCAACTTTCCACCATGGATATATACACAAAAGTCACTAAGATATTTATATATATCGAGCTCAGGAATTTCATCCGTAGATGGAGATAAGTTTAGGAGCTTAATAGCAGGAAACTATTGGCCAAATGGGTGGTCGAAGATTTACCCGGGTACACCCCTGTCTACCCGGGTAAATAATTCAAGCAATTTTTCAGGTGTGAAGAACAATATCCGGGTACACTCCTTCCTACCCGGGTAAACAAAAAATTTCAAAAAATACCCGGGTAGAGAGGGGTGTACCCGGGTAGGCTTGGTGGTCAACGGTCAAACAGGGGCAGATTGGTGTTATGTTTTTTGAGGGGGTTAAATTTTTGAAATAGTTTATAACCAAGGTCAAATTGGTAATTAATTAATAATAAAGGGTTACAAGGGTCAAAAAGCCTCAGATACTCAGATATATTATTTTTTCCATTTCCTTAAACTGCAGTCATTCTGGATGGAGAACCAGACAAGGAATGAGAAGAACAAAAGATTTCATTCCTTCAGATGGTATTCTGTGCCTCTACATCATCGTGGATATGCTTTGGGATTGACTTCAGCTGATGGTTCAAGTGATATGGATTGGTATGCCCTATTACTTTGTATTATTTAAGGAGGAAATTGATCCAGCTTCCTGATCATTAGTGCTTCTGCTATCTATTTATTGACAAAATATACTAATAGCTTCCATCATGATGTTGTGCTTTCTTTGATTTTTTTTTTTTTAAACATTGTAGTGGTCTGGAGATCATTGATGATGTTGCCAGGTGTTTCAATTGTGGTTCTTACAATCATTCTTTGAGAGTGTCCAAGGCCTCTTGACAATGTTGTTGTCAATAATGCTTGCAAACAACAAAGTCCCAACGAAAGCAGAATACTTCTTCCTGCAGTCCAACTTGATATTGTCAGAATTCTCCAACTGGAAAGTATGATGGTTTGAGGCTATGTGCTCTTGATGCCGTAACACGTAAGCTTTTGGGCATGGGGTAAGAGTTTTTATTGAAAAATCTGCTTTTATGTTGAATTATACATTTTTCACTATTAGAACTTATATTTTTTGGATTGAGAAAGAAGTTTTATTGGATAGACCTGAGGGAAAATGCAATTAGGCTGAGGATAGGATATCTTTCAAAGTCCAAATGGGAAAAACAAAATGATAATAATCATAAAAAAATCAGCCCTGAAAATTAAGCAATAAAATTGGACCTAAACACCTATAAAAGAGTGTTACCTTTGCCCAGTAAAGGATCCAGAAAGAAGTATATCCAACTAAGCCAACAAGGGGTTAGACACTTTCCAGCTTCCATATCTTAGAATACCTACCAGGCTCCTTTTCAAAATCTACCCGATGAGCAGCTACGATATGCTAATTATCACTATCAATACAAATATGCAAGACTGCTGGGGATGTGATCCAGAACCATCTAGCTGACCTGTTTCAAGTCAACCAAACTATGGGATGACCCTGGTAGAAAACCTGCTTATTGCACTGTGACACCCAAAAGCTGCCACAATAGCAGCCCCAAGCCCCTAAACCAAGAAATGGTTCCTAAACCAAGAACTGTACCTGAACCAGAACCAAGGCTAAAACAGAAATAAGCAATGTTGGAAACCAAAATAGCTATGTACAATGTTAAAGTTATACCAAATAGAGACTGTCACTTCCAATATGCAAATTTTCACCTTGCACTTTACTTTCAATGCCTCTACTTCCTGGCAGAAAATTGCAACTCTTGCAAGAAAACCACCTGCCATGGTGATGAATTGATGATGTGTAGTCCTCCAGGTAGCATCCCATCATCAAGTAGAAACTTAAGCTCCTTCAATACATTGGTTTCATGAAAAGGTGAAGAGAGGAGAGAGAAATGCAAAATAGATTTACTGAAGACGTGATAATTGAGTGTGTTTCTTCATATTAAACCTGAAGTCCTTAACCTTTCATAATAGAGACTTTGACAACCAAATGATACTTGTACAATTTGGTTTAGAGGCACAAGAATAAATCCTTTTAACCCTTAGGACTTCACTTAAAACTATTCACTCAATATTCATTAATATACATATATGTATATGTTCATGATTTCTTTTGACAATGGCATCCTTGCAGAGAGTATGCATATGGAATTCGATCTAATCAGAGTTTTCTTCAAGTTGTTGCCGGCTTTTGGGTGTGACTCCTCTGATATATGATCAACTTCTAAGTATTGAGGGGGCATTGTTTTACTCTTGAAAGTCTGTCCAGATGTATCATCAATCATGTTGTTTCTCATCTGACTAATACTTATAGAATCAAGCACTGGATTTGTAAATTTTTCCACATTGCACTCTGTAATATCAGAATAGATAGAAGAGAGGGGGGATTTTGGCTGTTGCTGTAATTCTGAAAATGCTACAGAATAATAAGGTTGAACCATCTTGTGAGGCCATTTATCAAAACTTCTTTTATCAATTAAAGATACATCGAAAGCAGACTCCATTTCTAGTCATCAACTCTAGAGTTATAAAAACATGGTAGCAGCTGTTTGTCAATTATTATTATTATTGATTTGATAAATACGAAGGCTAGGCAAGGCAGTTTGTGATCTTGTGATTCTGGCATTTTGGAATATTTCAAAACCCAATTGAAAATAATTACCTTGTAATTGAATTTATAAAAGGCTCACTGTTACTTCACTTAATTTATGTACTATTATTTTATTTGTCCACATCAATATGGGTTCTAATACTTGTAATTTTGCATGAAAATCATAACGATCCCATTATGAAAACGAGTTAAAATTACTATTAGTTATTGAATCCAATGTTATTAAACCCGGTTCGGTTATTGACCCGGTTGATGTACTGGGTCACCGGTTCAACCAGTGGGTCACTGAATCACTAACTATTTTTATTTTTTCTTGTTTTAACTTATAGGATTATTCTCTTTGATTAAAAACCTCGAATAATTATAAACATAGAAAACCAAGAAGCCTACAACTACGGCTGTTTAACCATTCTAGAATCATTTGACCCAAAAAAATCTATCATTTGGGTCGTCAATAAGCAACACTTTTAAAAGAAAATAAAAAAAAAACCCTCACTTTCTTGTTGGTCTATTTCCCCCATTCACTTCAAAAATTAAATAATTAAAATTATTAATATTTATAAATCAATACTGATGTTGGTAATTATAATTAATGAAAATTTTGTATAAATTCATTAATTTTTTATATTTGATTTTCAAATATGTATTCTTATAATCAATCAATTGATGAATTTTTTAAAAATAATTGATTATAGTTTATTTTTAACCAAATAATACTTAGTAGTTTTAAAATTTCCTATTATTTTTTTGAGGGATGTTATATTTACAATATTTTTTCGCTTATAACCTCTTGCAATTAAATTTTAACTGGTGATTTTCGTTAATCTGACAATTATAATTTATTTGTCACATTTATTAATTAATTTTTAATAAATTATAACTCTCAGATTGATGAAAATTAACCGTTAAAATATGGTTATATAAGGTTGTAAGTGAAAAGAGACGGTAAATATAACCTTCTTTAATTTTTTATAATATAACCACAAACAATTATTTAATATTTATGAATTTTTATCAATTTTCAAGCCTATTCTGCAATCATGATTTGTTACTCTTTACTGATTCCACATAATATTCAAAAAATATTGCAACAATAAAGTGGTACAACGCATTTATAATAAAAAAAATTATTTATCAATTATAATCATAATCGATATTTTTTTTTTCCGGTAAACAATTATTGATAATTTTATGTAAATCATTAATGGTTGAAGATTTTGTATAAAATCATAAATAATACAAAAAATTTATTCATTAAAAAAATATATTTAAAGATGAATTATAATCAATTAAACGACTTACATATTAATTAACAATCAATTACCACCGGAAATTAGGGGTGAAACTGGGTCGGACCGGCCTACAGGGGCCTATGGCTCGGCCTACATCAGGTTAGATTTGACCTAGTATATTTCGTAAAATAGGTCGGGCGCCTTGAAAAAGCTTATTTAATAAATAGGCCGTAGGCCCACTTTCACAAGGCTTGACCTATAAGCCTACAAGCCGGTTTATATTATACTATTTATTTTAAATAAAAAAGTATGCCTTGATAAAAAATAACAGATATAAATTTAACCAATTGTAATTATTTATAACTCAATTATATTCGATTATATTTTAAAAGAAATCTGACTTTATTTCTTATGTAAGATGAATCAACATCTTAGCATGTTAGATTGCGTATATGAATATATTAAAATTTTTTGGGAGAGGTTATACTTACTACAAGCATCATGATGTGTTTGTTGGATTCATGTAGTTATTTTAATTTATATAGTATGGATTTGTTTGTTGGATCTGATGAAATATATGTTATTTAGTTTGAGCATTTTGTTTTTTAAAAGTAACTTAAATGCAGATTGTGATGAGTTTTGTCGTGATTCATGATTCTGTTTGGACATTGAAATTATGATTTTTGATTTAGCAATACGAAGTTGATTCATGATTTTTCTTGGAAATTAAAAATTAACAGGCCAATGGACTAGGCCAGGCCATTTGTTTTTTTATAAATGAGTCAAATCAGACTAATAGTTAGACTCGTACTAAACTTGAATCATGCTAAATTAAAATTTTAGATATAGACTTAAACTTTTCGAAAGAAAGCTTAGTCCAATCCACTTTGACCCCTATAAAAAAATCTTGTTCATTTTTTTTTTGGTATGCGAGAAAATCTTTTTAAAGAATACAGAACACCCTCTTTCACTCCGAGTAGCTACTCTCACTTTCCAAACCCTAGCCAGCACTACACGCACTCTCTCTCTCTCTATCTAGATGTCGAGCGCCGATCCCGAGCACCGGGAAGAGGAGGAGGCACCTGCCGCCGGCGATGATGAGGATACCGGAGCTCAGGTGGCTCCCATCGTCAAGCTCGAGGAGGTTGCTGTCACCACAGGCGAAGAGGACGAAGATCCCATTCTAGATCTGTACGCCCTCTCATTCTCTCATTTACGTTTTTATTTTCATCCTTAGGGTTTAACCGTAGTTTTTTTTCATTGAGTGTAGCAAATCGAAGCTTTACCGGTTCGACAAGGATGGGAATCAGTGGAAGGAGAGAGGCGCGGGTACCGTCAAGTTTCTGAAGCACAAGGTTTCTGGCAAGGTTAGGCTTCTCATGAGGCAATCCAAGACCCTCAAGATCTGCGCCAATCATCTCAGTATGTGTTTTTTTTTCCTTCCTCTGCATCTGCATCTTCTTTTTTTCTAATTTTGATTTTGAGATTCAGTTTCTTTTTTCTTTTTTTTGGTTTGTGTGTGTTTTATTTGTTTCTCGATTGTCGCAGTTTTACCTACGATGTCTGTGCAAGAGCATGCTGGGAACGAGAAATCTTGCGTTTGGCATGCCAGGGACTATGCAGACGGTGAACTCAAGGATGAGCTTTTCTGCATTCGTTTTCCTTCAATTGAAAGTAAGTATCCATTTATAAGTTCCAATTTGAAGATAATTTTGTTTAGGTGCTACTAATAATTAGGCATATTCCTTCAGTTCTTTTGATTTAGACGAATTTGTGATTCCCTGTTTCACAAAGTTGGTCATCTTACATCTACATGTCTTGGATTGGAGTTATCAGTCTCCACTTGGATGCTATTTGCTGATGTGCAATTTCTGTTCGATATTTTTTTGTCAGCTTGTCTGCTGTGTTTGGTATTTTTTTGTCTCCACATTGCGCCAATCTCCATTTTTTCTGTTCGATTGAACTCTGAACCTACCAAGCACAGTGTTCTGTTCTGCACCTTGTTGCTCGATGAAACATTAGCATGTTTGTATCTTGTCTAACTCCAAGGTTGCTTTTGATGAATATCTGCTAAAACACTTGCCTTGCTAAATTTCCAAGACGTTTTCTGATGAGTTGTTTAGAGTGAATTGAACTGTTTGAAGTATGTTCCACACTCCCGTGAGAGAAATTTAATTGTATTTTTATGTAATTAGGCATTATAGTTAGGGGACCTTGTCTATTTAACTGTATTATGAAATTGTGTTTGTTTGCAAGATTTCATAGATAGACATTGATGCAGATTCCGATAAAGGTGATTAGACTAGCCTTAACATGCGCCACTTATCATAACATCTCTTTTTTCATTTTGATATTTGTTCTCCTTTTCCTTCATATTTTTTATATTTTGCTAAATTTAGTAAATCATTAGAGATTGCTATGTATATGGTTTAAAACAAAATTCGTAGTTAAGATTAAGAACGACAGATTTTTAGCTGGTATGTATTGGACTACATCGATTCACATGTCAATATCTCCCAGATTTTGAGTTATCTTAAATTTTGTAAGTTCCTGCCATCCTTGATACAAAACTTGCCTGCATATTGTGACTCATTTTATGAATTTCCTTTCAATTTTTTTATTGTGTTATAACTTTTATTTAGTGTTACATGATCTTTGGTTTTAAACGCATAAGCAAGAATATAAGATCACAACTACACTTGTACATTATATTTTAGATATTTACTTATCTTTAATTAGCAATAGTTTGTTCTATGCCCCAATAAAAGAAGTAGGTATTTTTTTAGATTCCATTTATATGTATGTTGGCTGGATAAAAATTGCTTTAGTTGATATTATGGTACCCTCCCCCTTTTGAATTTCAAGGATTGAGTGTATGTCGGTATCAATATCAGAAGTGAAATGTCTTTTGCATTTACCCCTAGCATGATCTGCATGATCTATATAAGGGTGTGCGTGATGTGAACTTTTTTTTTCCGATGCTCTTTCCTGTGATCTGTTTGGCTGGGTGTGGGGATGGAGAAGGGATAGGTTATAACTGAACATCTCATTTCCTCTGGAGAAACTTTTTAAATATTTTTCTTGCCATAATCTTAGCACGTATATTTACCGTTGCTTTGTCTTTCTGTTTGTTAGATTGCAAAAGCTTCATGGAAACATTCCAAGAAGTTGCTGAGTCCCAGAAGAAAGAGGAAAGCGAGGATGCATCTGCAGCATCTGGTCTTCTTGAGAAATTGAGTGTTGAAGAGAAGGCTGATGCAGGGAAGAAAGATGAAGAGAAGTCTGATGACAAAACTGGGGAACAAGAATCTGCATCAGGAAGTAAGGCAGATGCAGATAAGAAAGATGAAGAGCCTGTGTCCTCAGCTTGAGTATTATATATTCATATTTCAGTCTACTTGGCAATCTGACAAGGTTAGGTGGTCGATGCTTTTGCCGCCCATATCTTGGGATGATCTCTCATATTTTAATAGTCTTCGGATTGTGTCACTGCCATGCAATTGAGCTGTTTGTGTCCTCTTGAGTTTTTGTCAGCAAGCGAAGTTAGGGTTCGGTTTGAATTTTAAGGTTTGACTGGTTGAGGTTTCTGGGTCTGGGAGTTTATTTGTTATTGTCATTTTCATTCTACATATGTATTTGTTGCGAGTCGAGTAATGAGTCACGTTGGTTGGGAGGGTGCAGTCGAGAAATAGTCAAAAGTTATAAACAAAGGTCTTGGATACAAATTGTTTGAGTTTCACATTTTTTCAGGACTCAAACTACGTGGTTTTTTTTTTACGGCTGCTCATGTTATAATGTTCATCATTCATGAGCTGCAAGTCAAGCAAACTTCTCGGTAGAGCTAGCTTTAATTTTTTTATCATGTTGCCTTCAATAGAGGGAATGAAACATGAGGGAAATATTTGGGGGATCGTGGTTATCTGTTTCCTTATTTTCACCGAGTGACAGCGAAGGAAAAGAATGGAATGGGCAAAAAGTAACACAGTATACAAGAATATTAAAGTCTGTTTTGAGTTTTTTTCTTCATGTTTTTTTCTCAAAGTTAAAGAGCTTTTCGTTTTGTGTGTTTGGATATAAGTTTAAAAAAAGCCAAATAGATGTTTTTTTTTTTAAGCAAAGACTTATTGCTTTTTAAAAAAGCCAAAATTCTAATTTTTAAAAGTGCTTTTTTTGGTAAATAAGTGCTTTTCAAATATTGATTAAAATACAAAACAGTTTCGATTTTTTCAAAAATCCTTTCACAATTAATAATTTTGAATTCTTTTTAAATTCCATCTTAACCGGCTTTAAATTTTTGTGTAGGGGCGCTTGGTTATATTATTTATATTTTTTATTTTAAGCGTTTTTAATAATATATACTTTCCATAAAATGTTTTAGAATTTAAGAGCTTTTATTTTATCTAATTTTTTGTGAGCTTTTATCAGTTTGTTTACATGACCGTAGAGTTTTCTTTTCTTCAATTTTTCAAGTAGTATTCTATTTTTCTTCTTTTATTACTATGCGAACTCGTTTGCTAAATCTATCTAGTTTGGAAACGCACTGTTCCCTATGTGATTTACACTAAACTTTTATAAAGGCCAAGGTCACCTCAATAAGATCAAGTAAGTTCCTAATTTTTCCTACGACCAGAGAGCTTCAAATCATTATAAGCTTCCAACCAAATCGCCAGTGTAACCTCTACGACTTTTGCTGACGAACTTAACAAGGTGAAAAAGACAAAGGGAACCTCAAGATGAAAATAAATGAAGAAAAAAACACATCAAAATTTGAGTGACTGAATGTAATTATAAATTGAATTCAACTTTGATTTATTGTCAGAATATTACTTTTACACTGTAATTTAAAATGTCACTATATCATTTAATAAGTCGTTAACATCATGAAGTTCAAGATTCTTTTAATACTACAATTCAAAGATAGTGTAAGCTTAAATATGATGTGACAGAATCAAAATTAAACTCTTACAATTTACATGTAACTACATTAATATATCTTCAAAAATGACGCCCAACAACAGAGGAGGCACAATAAAAAGAAACGGGAAAATCTTTTTTGGTGACAGCAGAAATTTAAAGGAGAAAGAAAGAACAGCGCTTTGATCCATTTGGCCACATATTATAAGGGTTGTGCTCTTTATGCAATGCATGTCCAAACAACTCATCGGGACAGCATCAAAAGCTTTTCCACTCGAAGCTAATAATGTTTTTCTTCCAAAAAGACAGGCCCATCGTGGAACTGGTTGGTGATCCATGCAATGTCATGTCATGTCATGTTCTCTCAATTGAGCTTCTGCCAGCCAATAATTTCATGCTTTGTGACCACTTGTTTCATCATCATTTTTCAAACTTAAACCACTTCCAGTTTGCATAAAGTGCTTCATTTTCAAAAGGGATGGCATTGGTTGGTGGAGGTTCTAATAGTTGAGTGTTAACAGCATGAGGTAGCTTTTGCTTATATCTTTTTGCCATCATATCAGCCTCCTGAAATACTCTCTACATGTGGCAAAAAATAAATAAATAAATAAATAAATAAAACATCTATCATGATCTGTCCAACTAAAACCATATAACAACTTTAATAGGAAAATGATAAATAAATACCTCTTTATTTGATAGAAAAAGGCCAGGTTCACTTTCAAGGTCTGCAATGCTGCATGGCAAGAAAAGCGAATTGGCACCAGCAGCAACTTATAAACTTATACTCCAATGAAATTCTTTAACAGAGAAGTTTAGGAACAAAAGGGTTAAAACTAAACATGTCCAGTGGGTAAAGAACAAGAAAGTGAACTGTAGAGCATTCATGTTAGTGAGCCACACTCTACTCTTCAAGCGAAGTTAATTTGTTTCAACTCAAACCCATGCAAAAATCATGACTCAAAGAGTCAAAAGTATAAAGCAGTATTTTATTGCAACACAAATCTGAACTGTGTTAACATAGGAACTCAAGTAATGTTGTGTTGTTTTGATCTTTGAATCTCAAGATTCACTTCTTCTTTTTTTCCCTTTACAAACCTTCAATTCCACTGTTTGGTCTTTCATACCATTAGTCACAAGCATCTCCTAGAATTGGAAAAACTACATTTTTCAAATAAGATTAAACCATTTTGTATAATGTGATAACCTTATTGGCTCCTTTTATGGCAATGGCTTATTTTGTAATGAGATGTCTTACTTATAGGGAGGGTAGAAATAGGAGCAGCCTCATCCAGGTTAACCAAACTAGGCTAAATAAACAGTAACATACTAAATGCACCCAACAATTACAGAAGGAAGTTAAAGTTAGCAATCCATTACCTCAGAGAAATTTTCTCAGGAAACATTGACCTCACCACCAGAACTTTAACGTTTTCATCAACAGAAAGTACGTCACTGACAGAAGTAACTTCAGCTCGAGTGATGTTTGAAACATGCAGCAACCCACTGCAAGGCACCCAATCAATTCATTGTAAATGTCAGGTCGATGTATATAGACAAGTTTAATCCAACTTCAACAATTTAAACTCATGAAGTTGATATAAAAATCTTGAAGGAGATAAAATGCAGAAGAACATGATATTACAAAACCTTTTAACAACAAAGTAGCCAGACCAGAATGTCAGATGATACAGCAATTGTAAGGGTAGATATGTGTGGGAATATTAAAACCATGATATGGTAGGTAAACAATAAAGAAAATTGCTCAGCAACAAGGATTGGTGCACCTCATATTTGTTAACTTCACTTACAAAGAGAATCAAAGTTCAATGTAAATACCTGTGAATCAATTTATGTCGTGCCTATTTCTGTGTTTAAAACAAGAAAATGCTAAAAATGGTCTAGATAAAAAAAATGCAGACAATTGAGGAAATGTTTACATCTGTCTATGTTATTTTGAAATTCAAAGGAAAACGCTCCTAAAACTGCTTACAAGTTACCAATATCGTGCTTCCCAAAGCTTCAAATGTTTCTTTTGGAACTTCAATTATTTATATCAGGTTATATTTTCACAATCATGCTCTTATCTGATAAAATGTTTTTTTCCCCTATACGCGGGCTCTGAGACGTGAAAAAATTACTTTTACAGGCTATGTTGTAAAGAATCCTTGAAAACAAAGGAAACAAAACAACACGTCCCAAAGGTTAAGCATTGAATACTTTTAAGTGGACACCCCAAGTTCAAATCCCATTGGGACCTTGGGATGAGTGGAATGTTTAGGGTTTAAGATTTAGGAAAGGCAGGATGGACTACTTTTTTAGCAGTTTCAATGGACCAGGAAAACAAGTTGCACTAAATTCTCTTATATTCATTTTTTAATATTAAAGATCTCAACATAGTAGTCTAGTTAGAGAGTGTGGCTCACGAGTAGCTCCCCCTTTTGAACCCCGGATCCATACGTTCCAGCATAATATGTCATTATCTGGGGGCAGAGCTAGGATTTATATACTGGGAGTGCCAAAGATTATAACATTTTTTTAGGTGATCAAACCATTAAATTATATGCAAATTTTCAAAATTTCGAAACAAATTTTAAAATTTTTAAAGGGACGTCAGTTCCCATTCCTTTGTCCCTGGTCATTACCTTAATAGAGTTATGCTAACTCCTATACCCTAATTTTGATAGAACTCCAAACTTACAGATAACCTTAAGATAATTGAGGTTACTGATGCCAAACCAATTATAACATGTGCTCCTTAAGGGCTCAAGCAGAAAGCAAAATGATACTAGAGCAAATTACAAAAGTACAATTGATTTTCTTATTTTTCACGTTGGTTACTTAGAATCTTTTTGTAGTTTGTTGTTTTTTTCCTTTATGTTCTTACAAGAGTGATACAAATTCTGAATGAAGGAGGCTTTTTATTCAACTTTGGTAGGCGATAAGACTTTCAATCTCTTAGGACCCATAACCTACGAAAATTTCAGCAGCATGTGGATTAAAATTACAGTACCTAGTCATAGAAATTTTTTTTTTGAAGCAAGAGGTATTTTTGAGGCAATCTACATGGTAAGTAACAAGGAACTATCACTCTAACATAAGGGAGTGACTTAATTTTCGAACTTGGCAGAGATGTGTTAGAGATATAAAATCATTCATGAAGTTACACCCAACATCTTAAGCTTTTGATAGAATTGGTCTTTACCATGTTATTAGAGCCTCTTCAACAAGGCATCAAAGCCTCTTACATGAGGGGGTGTTTAAGAGGTATGAAGTATTCATGTTCGTGAGCCTAACAACTAAAGCTTTTAGGTTGAGTTGATCTTTGACAAGACAAATACTTAAATTAATAGTTATAAAACACTATTCAAATCAATTCAACAGTTTCAAATGTTGTTACAACCAGGAATAAGTGGAAACGAAACATAATGGTAAACTACCAAATAGTTTTATAGTGATGATTGGCCAATTTGTTTCATTAGCTTAATGCAGTTCAAAATAATTACACTGATGTCAAGGGCGAATAGTAGGTTTTAAGTCACAAAAACACTTATATGTCAGTGTGCCTGATTTATCTATTTTGTTTTTTATCTTTTCCATCAGCCATATGTACGAAACGGACATGGATTAAGATTTCTCGAAATCAAAGAATTTGGAAACATCCAGCAATACTCCAAAATGTAATTGTGGTACCTTGCAAGCAAGAAATGCACCTACTGGAATCCCTTGAATAAAGTTGTGATTTATCAAACAGAGAACAAAAAAGTAGAAAGGGTTCGCTATTCAAATCCAAGCTTTCACTGACCTTCTGTTACTTTCTCCTATCTTAATTTGGGCTCCATATGGAAATATTTTTTTCACAGTCCCATTTAGAAGTGTTCCCTCACGAAGATATAGCTTTTCCTGCAACATCATATTATTGCACAACAGGAATTTCAAAAGATAAAAAGGAGAAAGCAAAATTAAAGAACTCTGAAAATTTGAAGCAAGAAAAGCATGTAAGAATAGGAAATACCCAAGCTTCCTTCTCACTAAGTATCAAACTGTTTTTAGATTCATCTATTCGAGTAATTTCTACATAGATACAGCACCCCACCTACACCATTATAATAAGTAGTAGTAAGAGTAAGGAAGACAAAATAAAGACTGATGATAGCAATAACAATCAACAAACGTATTCTATCTAACTAATAGGAGTCTTCCAGGTGTAAAGAAACCTAGGAAGGGAAAACATTTTAAAGAAGTACAGATTCTTTTAGGTAATTTGCTGAACACTTAAAATTGTAAAATATACTACACTCATTTTCCTTGCGGAAGCTCATAAAGTATTATGCAATACCACTTTTTGATCATCACTTCTCATACTTGAAATCCAACATGATATATAAGGATTCAAATCAAGACTAGAGTATACTTATCCACTCCATAGTAGTCAAAATCTTTGACTACTCCCTTAAGGAACGGACTTGTTTAAAGCTTAAAAAGAAACTAGTTTCGATTTTAGAACAACATCAAATTTGATAGGATAGATCATATAGCTTCCATAGATTACACTCAGACAGCAATCATACAGGATTTGAACTTTGCATAATGGCACCATCCGCATCTGTGAAGATTTAGAGTTGCTATATGCAGATCTAATAAATAACAGATAATATAATCACAGAGTATCAGCGGAAGCTTATAAGCAAAGTAGCTGTCCCATTAAGAAAAATGATCTTTTTCCCTGACTAGGAAGAAAGTGCTAAGGCTGCAACTTACCTTTTCTTTCAATTCAGTAAAGCTATTTGCTCTTTTCACAAGTCCAGTTTTGGGTAGGAAAGCTCGCAAACCCTGCACATCCAAATTCAAGAAAAGATAAGCATTTAATCAAATGCTACATGAACATAAATCTCAGGTCAATGGCACAGACCTCAATCCTTGTTAGCAGGCCCCCAGTATTCCACTCTGTAATTCTAACCTCAATAGGTTCATTGAGCTGTTTTATCTGCCCAAAACATGAAAAATTGGACATTTAAATCTCATCAGCAAGAGAAAGGAGATGTTATCTGACTTTACAGGAATTAAGATTGCTAACAGGGATATTGTAGCATTCATAAGATCATGAGCGTCAATTTTTTTGTTAGATCACATATATTTCCTTTCTGACTATAATCTCAGTATAAATGTGATGTAACATGTGCTTACAATGTTGATATGAAATAATAGAGTAAATGTCTATTTTGGTTCTCCAAAGATATACATGACATCATATTAGTCCTCAAGTTATAATATCAAATTCGTCATTTACATACACATGCAATGTGAAGGGGAGCCTTGGCACAACAGTTAGTGTTGTCGCCATGTGACTCAGAGATCACTGGCTAGATTTATGTGAGCAAATGCAAGATAAGGCTGTCTACTATAGATCCACACAATGGGCCTGACCTTTCCCTAGACCCTACACATAGTGGGAGCTTTATAGCACCAGGTTGCCCTTCTAAAGATATACGCAACTTCATATTTATCTTTCAAAATCACATTTTTGCCATCAAATTGGTCATACAATGAAATTGGCTCTTAAGGACGAAATTGATGGCATTACTTGTCATTGAAGGACCATTTGATGTCACTAATAAATGGAGGACAAATGTGATGTCGTGCATACATTTCGAGGACCAAAAGTAATGTTTGCTCAATCATAAACTCTTTCCAACTAAGTAGTCATAAGAACTACTGAATTCAACTCACACATTCTTCATGAGAGTTGGAATATCTACTAAACTATATACATAAGGAGGGGGGAAAGAGGAATGAAAGAAAGATAAGAACCTGCCTCACTCGATGCCAGGCAATCCGGCGAAAGAGCCTTCTGGTAGAAAGCAATGGCCTACCACTAAGTGTTCTACCTAAAACCTCAGCAAACAAAATGGTTCCAGTCTCTACCACAGGTCTTCCAGGCATTGGTACTCCATTTATTGCCTCATCATTCTTTACAATTCCCATCTTCCCATGAACCATAAAATTCTCTGCATCCTTGTTCACATCACATAACAAGTTCTCCATTTCTTTACCATACAAGGGAAGCACTTCCTTCGTCAACATTGTACCTAGTAAGTCTGCCCCAACATTGACATCAAGCTTGTTTTCATTGCCTGAAACAACAACACCCACCACAAAATCCCCAGGTTTGGGCTCATAGTACTCAACATTAATATTCTTAGCTTCTTCTTCATCCTCATCACCCAAATCAACTTTTTCTTCAGAAACTTCCAATACCTCACCATCTTCTTCAACCTCCTCCACAGAATTACTACCTTTGAAAAACTTAAAAAAAGGTGCCAAAGCCTCCTCTTCAGAAGGCTTCTCTTGGTCCATTTCAACTTCAGAAGACAACCCTTCTGCAACACGCACAGGAGAAGGCTTGTTCAGCAACTCAAGTTTTTCAAGCTCTTGGATTCCACCATCAATAGCCTCTTGAGATGAATCACTGGGAAAGCCATCAAACCCCTCATTCGTGGTGCAAAATGTGCAGTGGGTATCGCCCAAAATCGAAACTTTCTTAGAAACGAGGGAAGCATGAGGATTGGAAAGAACAATCCTGGCAAAAGAACAAGAAATATGGGGTTTTGAAGATGAGTGTTTAGTGGGATTGGTCAGTGGTTTCTTATTGAAGGTGCTGCTGAAAACACTGATATCCTTAACCGGTATTATTGTACAATTGGGAAAGCAGAGAGACTTAAAGGGATGAAGATTCAATGGCATCTTGATATGCTGCACACAGCATCAGCGTTGGTTTTTCAGACAGACACACACAACAATATTTGATTCTGGCTTTATCCTTTGTATTTTTTACCTTTTTAGCTCAATTTTGAAATATAAATAAATAAATTTTCTTTGTTGTAAACGGGGGAATTATTCGGGCTATTTAAATTCTAGACTTTTATTTTTTTAAATTAATTTCTCTAGTTTTTTTTTTTTTTTTTTATAACTAAGAGATTTCAGTCGAGGTTTAGGGCCCGTTTGGATGAGCTTTTTTTTCTTCAAAAGTTGCTTTTTTTCTTGAAAAAAAGCACTTCTCATTTTTAGTTCATTTGGATGTCTACTTTTAAAAAAAGCAGAAGCCACAAAAAAAGCCAAAAACTTACTTTTTTCATAAGCTAAAAATTTTAACTTCTACAAAAAGCAGAAGTCAAAAGCCAAATATTTTTTTCAAAAACTAAATATTTTTATAAAAATATAAATAGGTTTAACTTTTGTAAAAAACACTTTTAAAATAAGGAAGAGATAAAAGTTACTTTTTTTAAAAGGTGAAACAAAGAGGCACTTAAAAGCGCAAGGATTTTCAGTGGTTACAAAGAGTTTTGCCAAGAAGGAGACACTCTTTTTTTTTTTTTTTTTTGTGTCTCAACGTATCCTCCAGCTGACAGTAGAAGTTTTAATTCTTTCGAGACAGGAAATTATATTAAGTGAATAAACTTCTTCCAACAAAATATTTTCCATACGCACGGTTAGAGATTAAACCCCTATTAACATGCTTAAAAAATCCAGTTATCTACCAACTATGCTAGACTCTGTTGATAGGAAGACATTTTGTAACACGTCTTTGCATCACCCAACAGAAATTATTATGAAGCACAAAAAAAAACTATTAACTTATTATCATTTAATTTTAATTTTTTTAACATTTTTCCACGTTAATTAAAAACCCAACTAATCTAGCGAGTCTCCGAATATATTTTATCTAAAATTATTTTTAAATGGAATAGAATATTAAGCTTAAAAAAAAAATATTGTGCCTTTTTTTTCATACCTATAATATTTTATCTTTTAGGCTTTTTTTTTTTTATTCTTACTTTATCAATTACTCTCATTGTTATATCTGAATCCCAAATAACATTTATTATTTCTGTCTCATCTTAAGATTCTGATATAACATTGTTAATGAATAATAGGTAGAATAAAAAAAAATAGGCATAATATTATATCTCTATTTAAATTATCATTTTCATTAAGTTGCAATCATTTATTTATTTATTTACATATAAACCTTTACTATATTAGTTTAAAATTCAGAAAAGAAACAAGTTCATTATAAAATTTTAATTTAATGCTTTAACTAGTTTTTAGTTCCTATAATTAGCTAACTAAATAAATAAGTTTCAGTTCTGAATGAAACTATAAGAACCAATAGAACATTCGAACTTAAACTTTTTACACGATATATGAACACATAAATATTTGTATATTAAAATAATTTTTATTTATAAAAATAATATTTTTTTACGTCTGTATCGTCTCATTTATGTAAGATTGGATGATTAATATTAATTCTTCCGATACTCACACTCACACCTTCTAGCTCGGTATCTATGTACATGTGTTCGATTGACAGAACGAGGCACTAATTTGAATTATTATTATACGAGAAAAGTTATACTTACAAGTTACAATTTTTTTTTTTTTACAATCTCTTACAACTATATCTTAACACCGTTGATTTTCGCCAATCAACGGTTATTATTTTTGTAAATTAAATTCATTGATTAATTATTAATTCACAATAAATGATAACCGTTGATTAACGAAAATCAACGGTGTTAAGATATGGTTGTAAGAAGTTGTAAAAAAAAAAGGTTGTAAGTATAACCTTCCTCTATATGTAGGGATTTCCATTCATTATTTAACATGACACAAAAAAGTTTTCTACACATACAACATTTTGTGGGGCCCGCACTTTTTGAAGCAAAAAAAAAAAAATACGGTACGTAAAACGAATCTCTATAACATTACACAATCACTTTTTCTACGACATAATTCTTATAAAATCCATATATATATATATATATATATGACTTTGGATTTCTTCAGCAGCAGATCACCATTTTTTCTTACAAAGAGAAGACAAACTGAGCACCACCAAATTTTGTAACCAAATTTTGTAAAAAAAAAATATTATGCATGTTTTTCAAAGTGTGAGTGATAGGAGATTAACAAATTCTTACGACATAAGAATTAATATATATATATATATATATATATTCACAATATATTTTTTTGAGTGCAAGACTACGGTTAAGCTCTCAAGTTTATGTAAAAAGATTATTACGTGGGACTTGCTTTAAAAGAAGATAAATATATTACAATGTATTAAATTAGATTTATTTTTTATAGTAAAAAAATCTTATTGTTTAATTTCTTCTCAAAAAATAACACTTATTATCTTAAACGTTAAATCAATTGTTTTATTCATAAAATATCCTCTTAGTAATTTTAATTTTTTTAATCTAGTTTTTACATTTATTTGAGTTAATTAATTATATATACATATATATATATATTATTTATACTTTTTAAATTTTCATCTGAAATATTTTTAATTTATATTTTTTATATTTCACTCAAATTTAAAAACAATCATGTGATACGTGATATGCCTGCTAGTTTTATCATAAGAGCATAGCACAAGTGCACAACGTTCAATTAGGCAAGTAAACTCGGTTGTGTTGGTGCAATGCCAGTGGGGCATTTATGGATTTGTGTAATTTTCATTATAAGTGTTGGCATTTAAATTTAGCAAAATAAGATTTAATAGAAATCTGCATGAAAATACATTTTTATAAAATTATAGATCAAAATTAGTGATAAATATATTCTGTCACATAAGGGATAAAAAATTAACCAAAATTATAATTTGTGGTTAACTCAGTTAATTTTTTTAACTCACTAGTTATCTTTATATACAAATCAATCATCACTTCTTCTTTTTTGTCAATTGTTTATCAAAGTCAAAAATATATTTTCCAGAGTCTTTAGAATTGTAGCCCTCCCAATTTTTTTCTGGCTCAAATTTAGTCTAAGACTACAAAATTAATCAAATACCTCAAATTTGAATGGGGTCAAATATCATTGGCCTTTCACGAGAGTTTGAGCGAAAAATTTCTAGTCCTCCTCTATTTGTTGAGAATTCAGTCTTATACTCACATAAATTTTTATATATGGATTATTTTTTCATATCATCTATCTTATGTATATCAGTATTTAATTGACGTCTCAGTTAAATTTCAGGGGAGGCTTAAACTTAAAAATAATTTAGTTGGACACGTTTGTTTTCGAACACTGGTTAATATTTAAAAAAAATTAATAAATACAAATAAAGGAATTCATATTTTATAATTGACTAATTTCATAAAATCACCTTGTAGTTAGGGACTTAGGGTCATTTTTAAAATATCACCCTATACTTTTGAGGGGAAGGATATTGTGACAACCAAGTTGTATTACTACCAAGCGACTACCAATCAATCTTACCGTTAGATCGATTATGTTGATCCAACGGTTATATTTATTTCCATCTTTGTATTGTCATAATTTTTCAAATTTAATACTTTATATTTATTTTCACCTTTGTATGGTTATGATTTCTCATATTTAATGCTTTCACTTTAAATATGGGGAATCATGATCATACAAAGATGAAAATAAATATAATCGTTGGATCAATATAATTGATCCAACGGTGAGATTGATTGGTAGTCACTTAGTAATAACACAACTTGATTGTCACAATATCATTCTCCTACTTTCGATCCAAACAATTAATTCGTTTATACTATTAAATCAAAACAATTAAACACATTTAGTAATTATAAGACAAAAATACCCTTCTTCTCCACCATGACGAATACATGGTCATAAAATATATTATAAGAAAGCTGATTAATTTGGATTTAGGAAATCTGCACTTGAAGGAAATATATGCAGCTTGAGTTTGAATTGGAAACAATGGCCTAATTGACTTGTTTGGAATAAGAAGGTTGGCGAGTTGGATGAATCTTCAATTTGCCCCTTCATTTTAAAGCGAGTTCCCTGTGCTCATTTAAAAGGGTTTGGAAGAAACCACCATGCTAGAATTTTGAGTAAATGTACGTTTTTCTTTTTCTTTTTTTTTTCTTTTGTATATTTCGTTGGAGCAAAATGCCCACATTTGTGAAGGCTTATTATATTGGGATAGGGTTCCAAGACCCATTCTAATTAGGGTTTTATTAATCTTATGTTAAAGGAGATAAGTTATCTCATGTCATAAAGATAAATTTGTGGACTCCAACAAAATAAAAAGAAAAGAAAAGAAAAAGGTGGCACAGTTATTGAAGGATGTGTAGAAGATAAAGTTATCACATATAGCATAAGAGTGGTTTTTTCCTTCTAATTAATGCAGTACAAGAAAAGACTCAGTAATTAAATGATAGTAACTAGGGGTGTAAATAGGTCAGGCTGGGCTGGGCTTTGGCCTTCTTGGCCTAAGCCTACGTAAAAAAATATTCAGCCTATCTGGCCTATTGACCTACTAAAGGCTTTATTTATAGGCCAAACCTGGCATATTTTTAAAAATTAGAGAACCATATAGAGTCTACAGGCCTTGTAGGCCTCCCTAGCAAAATATTTTTAAAAAAAAATTAACAATTTTTAAAATATTCGCTTGACATTACAAGTCATTAACGTGTTCATAAATTTCTGCATTTTTTTACACGAGATATAAATTTCACTAGTGAGCATTAAAATTTTTACAATAGTAAAAAAAATAACTATAAAAATATACTGAGCAAAGTTTCATTCATGCATGCACTAGTACTTCTCGTAATTCATAAAAAATGACAAACAAGAAAGAGTCAACATAATACCCCAGCTCTATAATGTATATCATATACCCTAAAATAAATATATTATATTATATTATTCTAAAAATTAAATAGGTCAGCCTACAAGGCTTTAGGTCAGG